TCCTTTCCTTTTTCACCTCCCCTTTCTGCAGTAGCCCTGAAGCCTAGCTCTACAGCAGGAAACCCCCTCAAGCAGCACTGACTCCTCTTGTGCAGAGGACCACCATGGCAGAGAACCTCATCCCGACACTGCCGCTACACGTCTGCGGTGATTTTTGAGGTAGACCGCAAAGCCTTACACAGCCTTATCTGGATGGACTGAGAGAAGTTAGCCTTACATTGACCAGTCTTTTGTAAGGAACCCCAAGGATTTAATTCAACTGGTCATTGGCTCAGGGAGACCCAAGTTGCTATGGTCGCACAGTGCCATTCAAAGGAGGACGGGAAGTCACGCGATGACTCCCTGCTGCGTTAGCCCAACTTCTGTGATGTGGAAGCAAGTCCCACAGCTTGCACTGCCTTCGTCTCAAAAGGAGGAGTGGGTGCTAGATATCACGTCCGGAACAAGGAGCACAGAAACCATGCAAGTGTATCGCTGAGCACAGACAGGATTCTGCAATGTCAGCATTGCTGGGCAGCAGTTTTGGCTTTCCCGATGGACAGCGTTTTCTTTGGGCAGACTGGTCTTCTCAGCAACCAGTGCACACTGTCTTGGAGCCCAACCCCTAAAAACATACAGAATGGTCTATAGCCCTGGTAAAAATACAGGTGGCGCTGTCAAGATTAAAAAAACCAGTTTCACGAGGGAATACCTTCTCTCTGTGGTTCATTAGGTACATAACAGTAAAAAACGAAAATATCTTTTGCGTGCATTCATGATTGCAGCCAACAGGTTTATGTTCTGAATCACTATTTGAAATGCATTCCCACATTGAAGCGTGTTAAGGAAACATTATGGGGTCTCCTGTAAAGCAGCAAACTGCAGGAGAGTCAGAGTTGAGGCTGAAATTGCACACTTGAGGTACTCATTATATCTAGGTATGTACCGAATAGCTTGTCATAGTACACGCTGTTCCAAAAAATTTTGTACATAACCAGAGGCTGTTTGGGGGCCTAGAAATTGTATCACTGCAGGAGGCCTGGGAACTTGGGAACCGAGACCAGCCGTCTTCCTTTTTATGGGACGCTTACTATTTATTTTTTATTTCATTTTAAAAGGTAGCCCATAATTTATCTACCACCATTTTTTAAAGCCCTGCATGTAACTCGCCATGCATAGCACCTTCCTAGTGCTTTCTCAACCCAAGCTCTGCGTAACACAGCCGCAGTGGCTCCCGCCTGCTTGTTTCAATATCCTCTGCCACAGCAGTATAAGCACATGCAGCACAGGAGCAGAGAGGGGAACCAAACTAGCTCCAGCGTGTAAAGACGAGCCTCAGAGCATCAGGAATAGGAAACAAACAAACAAAAAAAAAAAACACCCCACCAAAACTCTTTTGGTTCAGCAAACCCAAACTCCACCGCATCCAGTTTCAGGTGCTCGATGAATGCTTCTGCACTGTGCCCACAAGCCTGAGAGGTTTATTGCTGACCTCAGCTCTTTCCATGGCTCTCCTTAGGCCCCCTATGCTAATAGAAAAGCACATTTCATTTCCCACCCCCAGATCCCCGCAGCACCCTGTCAGCACCGTGAGGGAACTGCAACCAATCCACAGGGAGGTCTCAGCCGCCCTGAAGCGCTGGGCTCAGGCCTGCTGCCTTTACACAGAGCACAAAATATCCGGCGGTATAAACCGACAGCCCTTTTCTGCGCTGAAAGGGTTCTGCCTAACTCAGTAGTGCCCCCATCTGTGAAATGAATAAATGACATTTCCTTTATAGGATGCTCTGAAAAGTACAGCCGGAAAGGGAACTTCAAGAGTAAGGTGCGACAATGAGCAATTGCTTTTTTTTTTTTTGCTTTTTTTTTTTTTTAACATTATGGGAGATGTAGAATAAGGCACAGAGTGACTCTATTTTCAAAGCTAAACCATCACATCATTGTTCCACATACGTTGCGGAACCACACTGCAAGCAGCATTTCCACTGCAAATTCTAGACTTTAATTAGCTAGCCATAAAAGTATAAATATTGACCCTACAATTATGGCAGGGAGGGGAGTTCCGGTTGTACTTTAATTAGGCGAGTTGAAGGAAAGCCTGATCTACTTCCTAAGCAAGCAGAACCCAGAAATAAGATCACCATCACTTCGACATCCAGAATGGCCAGCGCTGCCTTTGCAGTCACTTAATTATTATTTCTCTTCAGCGTGAGAGGCAATCTAACAGACAAAAATCCAGGCTCCTGCTACCCCACGAAGGCAGCAAGGAACAGGGCTATTCTGTCTAAACACGGCAGTAAGACCAGGATGACCATTCCGGGCTCACTTTCAGTCACGGAATTAACTTTAAATGGAAGCAGACTGAACTTAAAATAATGAAACTCAAAACTTCCCTCCCTGGACAGCATGTGGGCACAAACACATCTTTGTACAAAACTAAAGCTATTGAAAAGCCAAGGATCATAGAATCATAGAATGTTTTGGGTTGGAAGGGACCCCAGAGGTCATCTAGTCCAACCCCCAGGTCATCTTGTCCGACCCCCAGGATACAGGACCATCCTCCCCTGAAAGTGAAGGATACCCATTAGCTGCATTTACAAGTGGCAACCGAAACCTGAGCGACGCTGTCCCCCGAGCACACCCGCTTCAACGCGGGGGAGCGACAGACGCAGGACTGCGCCCCAGGCGGCCTCTGCCAGTGTCATCCTGGCCAAGCAAAGCACCGGCAGGCACAGCGCACAGACAGCTTTGCTAGCGCCTACGAGCTGGCTGAGGCCGGGGGGCACCCGG